ATTTATTTATTTATTTATTTATTTATTTATTTATTTATTTATTAGATTTATCTCTGCCCATCTCCCCGTAATGGGGGACACCACCCTAGGGAGGAGGGGGAAATGGGGGAAATGTCCACCCGGTGACTGTGGCTTAGCTAGCAAACCATGGTTTGAACAATCAAGGGCTTAACAGGGTTCTACAGTGTTACCTCTGTTCTGTGTCCTGGGGGAATGTGTGTCCTTTGACCCTGAAGGCAAGTCGCAGCAAACCTCTACAAGAGAAGAAGAAATTTAAAATATTAAACTAGAGATCATCAGAAAACACTCGGATTAAGATACATATGCCTCTCCCAGCAACTGGAAATGGGTGCACAGTTAGAGAACTTCAAAGTGATTTTCAACAAAGTTCTGGAGGGGGAAAATTCAGTAAAATGGGGAAATTGCTGGGTTTGTTCTCCCAAAGGCCATTGATTTAACAGAATCAGGGGGAAAACATCCATCTTGCCTGAAACCAAACCACCTTGACAAGATGCTGTTGGAATCCTTTTTAAAATTATTTAAACAGTGTGGACAGAGAATGCTATTCATCATCATCATCATCATTATTATTATTATTATTAATTAAATTTATATGCTGCCCAACTCCCAGGGACTCCAGGGACTCTAGCAATTAGTTGTCCTAACAGCAGTTTGACAATAACTCTGCCCAGAGTCACTTGGACAAAAGTGAGATGGGTGGCTAATCAATTGTGCAATAAATAAAATAAATAAAATAAAACCCAGGGGGTGGGAGGCTCCCTTTCACTGGACGTCTTCTAGCAGAGGCTGGACATCCATCAGGTTGATTGATGGACTGATTATGTACCATCAAGTCGTTTTGACTCCAAGATCTTGAGAAGTTAAGAGAAACTTGAAAAGTTTTAACTGGTTTAAGTCAATCCTTTGACCCAAGAAACTCTGGAGCAGTTTTTACAGAGAGTTGCAATGGATTGATTTCTTCAGGCATCTAAGCCAGCGTTTCTCAACCTTGGCCACTTGAAAATATGTGGACTTCAACTCCCAGAATTCTCCAGCCAGCATGGCTGGCTGGGGAATTCTGGGAG